TGATGGAGAGGGGCTCGTCTTCACCCCCCGCCTCGTTCCCCGAGAGCGTTTCGCCTTCTGGGGACGCTTGGTGCTGTGGTAAAGGTGCGTAGTTCCGTGCGTGGCTTGCTGGGGAGATGCTCCGGGCAAGCGGCCGCTCCGTTCTCGTCAGGCTGAGCCCGAAGTGGGGGAACACCGGGTAGCTCCGTGCTGTCAAATATAATTCACAGGCTGGGGAGACCTGAGAAAACCCCCAAACACCAACTTGTCAGTGCACCAGGAAAACCTTCATTCCTTTCACCCCTCTTCCCCCTTCCAGCCCTCTCTCCACGGCTGAGCCTGGTGACATGCCCGTGAAGTTGGCAGGCTGGCTTTGCTCCACGAATCACCTTCCATTATCCCAGGTTGCTGCAAGCCCTGTCCAGCCTGGCCTTGGACACTTCCAGGGATGGGGCAGCCACAGCTTCTCTGGGTAATCTGTGCCAGGGCCTCCCCACCCTCACCGGGAAGGACTTATCCCGAGATCCCATCTAACCCTGCCCTCTGTCAGTGTGAAGCTGTCCCTTCTTGCCTGTCACTCCAAGTCCTTGGCAAAGAAATGGCAGTGAAAACATACAAAACTAAAACCCCAGAACACTCTCCTCTCCATATGGAAACACAGTCAGCAAGGCACTTGGGACGAGTTGGGATTTGAAACAGAATTTTGTTTGCAACTGCTAGAAAAGTTCAAAATTTAAGAAAGTGCTGAAACCTGTGCAGAAGCCATGCTTAGCATAGCACAAACTCACATCCAAAGCAGCCCCTCACTCTGGGTGTATGGTTTTTGGAAGCGACTGAGGCTGGGCGGGTGCCTCAGTCAGTATCTCTGTGACTCTGAGAAACATTCTCCCCCTCGTTGTGCAAGAGGCTCACAGCTCCCCTCGACATCCCAGGAGAGTGACGCTTTTAAAAGGACCTTATTTCTTTTTCTGCCCTCTAAGGGGACAAAGCAGAGTACACTTGTGACAGGGCCAGCCCATCCCTCTGTCCCCACCCTGCTTGCCGAGATTTCCATGCTTCCATTGCTGGTGCAAAGCACCGGAGAGGTGAGGCACCCTTTGCGGTGCCTTTCTGGGGTTCGGTCCCATTCCTGCTGCCAGGCCCTGCCGTGCAGTGGCTTTTTCTGTAGGGCTGAACACGAGGTGACCAAGGACAGGTCGGCTCTATATCCCCACAGCTCTGGATAGGCGCTTGTGTGGTCCGTGGGCAGAGCGAGGGCCGAGCTTCTTGGCCGAGAGTGGTGGGGAGAGGAGGTGGCGGGGGGAGAGGGAGTGGGATCAGGAGCAGGAATGCTGCTGCCACTGCCCACCGCCTGAACTGTCCTCCAAGGGTCAAACTGTTCAACTTCAGCCCCTTTGCCAGACTCAATCCTACTTTAGGGGAACAAAAGCCCGAAGCAGGCAACGATCAAGAAATGGGAGCACAATGATTTAAGCTTATCACACAGCCCAGAAATAAAGGACGCTGAGCTCGTGTGGGGGAGAGGGGGAGACCTTCAGAAGGGCTTTGTTTGCTGTAAGAAGATTGAACTCTGAGGCGACCCGATAGCCCTAAAAGTTTAGGGTCTGTGTTGCTGAGAGACCTTTGGGCACAGCCCATCCACACGTCGACCTCACAAGTTGAGAGCCAGCCTTAATGACCAGCCTGCCTCAGGTGAACACGGGCACGACATCCCGGGACATGCGGGGACAAAGCTGTGGGGACAGGGTGGCCCGGCCCCTCCCAGCTCTGCCTCCCTCATACCCTGCGGTGTCCTGAGGGTTCGGGGTCCTAGGGCTGCCCACACACACCAGGGTGTCCTGATCCCTGTGGTGTCCAGCACCCACAAACCCTGACAGTGGGGTGGTTCTGCTCTTAAATGGGGTGTGAGAATATGTCCCCACACAGCAGAGTACTGGGGTGCTCTGCGGAGGGAAGCAATCAAAATTGCTGGGGTGCGTATCCCCCACATCCTGATCCAGGTCCTTCCCATGCACGCTGCAGCAATCAGTGCCACATGGAGGGACACGATGAGGAGCAGTCCCCCAACTCCCAAGCTGTATTAGCACTTTTGGGGCTTGTTCTGGGATCCAGGCGAAGAGGGGTCCCCCCACAAGCTCTGTCCCGGCATCTTTCCCTGCTCCCCCCAGCCCGGCCCTTGTCGGGGGCCGATTGTTCCCGGCGGATTTGCATGGCAGGTGCAGGCCTGCAGAGCGATTTTGCAGTGCTGGCCCCCCACCCCACCAAGAGGGTTTGCCTCCTCCCCCTTGTGAAAAAAGGCTGCCGGTGCCTTCCTTTCCCATGAAGAAGAGAAGAAGCTTGAGGATCGCGTGAACACGCTTCAGTTTTCTTATTCTTTTCTATAGATGTGGGGAAAAGAACAGCCGATTGTGTGAAAAACCCAGTGCCTGCAAAAAGGGACATTGGCCATCCAGGCGAAGGTGCGCGAGGGAGAGCACTAATCGCTGAACCAGGAGACAAATACGATTACCAGCTCCGAGCCTTGAGTCAGAAAGTCTCATAGACTTTAAGATGTTAATCCCCAACATAATCCTTCCTTTGGCGTGTAGGAATAGTGCAGCCACAAGAGTTGTTTTGTTATTTATATTGGCGTTTAATAAAACTCAGCCAGTGGTGAATGGGCTGCCCACTCTCCAATGGTAATTAATTCCCTATTTCAGTGACCCAATTGTGCTGGGATAGAGCAGTGGGACAGTCCCACTGCCCCAACCCGCCTTTGTGCAGCTACACGGCTCTCGTGCTTCAACAGCTATGGAAACTCATTCTTTTGATGTCATTCAATGAGTTTTCCTTGGGCATCTTCTAAACTTCAAGGACCCTTTTCTTTCTCGAACGCCTGAAAAGCAGGACTAGCTTGACCACCTCTGTAGAATTTAATGGTTTGGTGAAAGGGCCTTTTGGGGGGCAGGGGGGGTGGGGTGGGGGTGATTTGTGTAAGGAAAGAGAGAAAGAAAATTTGGCAGCCTGGCTATCAAACAGGGGGATAGCCAAACCCACTCAGCTCCTAATTTATCCAGGTCTAAAAAGCCACTTTTCCTTACTCAAAATACTCGGGGGCTTCTCTTAGTCAAGGCATTTCTAGATGGGATCTGCCAGTGAGCAATAACTGTTATGGAGCTGAGTAAAGAAGTGAATGGTGTTTCCAGAAGGAAGTTCCATCCAGAAAAGGGAAAAGCACCTGGATATTTTTACCCAGAAGGGGAAGAACACCAGATACCTGTAACAGGTTATTGGTGTAAGTGTGTCTGCAGGTTTATACTTTTTGTCTGTGTGGTGAGGTGGCTGAAAGCAAACACGTGAAGAACATGGAGTTATCCTGCAGAGCTGCCCCGATCCGGGCAGCCTCCTCTATGTCTTTATACACACTTGCAAAAAAAAAAAAAAAACCAAAAAAAAAACCTTTCGCAAGTCACAAACAATTCAGGATTCAACTAAGAAAACACAGAGTGAACCATATGGCCAGGGTGGCTCGAGTTGGCTGCATTTTCCCGCAGACAAAGAAGGGATTGAGAGTTGAAGGAAAGGAGAAAAAAACCCAACTTTCCGGCTGATGAAGCTGTTGTCTGGAGGCAATGATCCCAAATCTCAAGGCTTTATTCCAGGCTCCGACTGAGACGTGATATGTCATATGATTAGCATCTTTCATATTTACAAGAGTAGTGCAGGCTGCCAGTCTTTAGAGAAAGGCGAGAGAAAGAAGGGGCATATGCTGAAATGGATTTAGCATTTGAAAGAGAGAAAAGAGAGCGGATAAATACACTTAAACGAGGATTTAGTTTTACTCCCGTTGAGTTCTAATGGCTTGTTGATTGAGATTTTAGGGAGCCGGGACAGAGGTGTCAGCAGTAATTTAAAAGCGCCATTCAGCCCTCCCCC